TGTACAACAAAACAGCAACAACATCAATCCACTGTCCCCCCGGAACTGTCAGTCCCGTTGTTTTCTCCTCCAGATTGTTCATCCAGCCTGTCCTATCCAGACAGGCCTGCCATATTTTCTCTTAAAGGGTCAGATAAAACTATTCTAGGCTGTCAGACCACAACATGTTCCTCAGAAGCACGCAACTCTGCCACTAAAGCACAAAAGTGGCCAGACCCCACATGGAAGAGGATGGGCCAGGCTAGGCTCCAGTAACATTTTACGTATAGAGAGACCACAAACTTTACTTATGAAAAGGCCCACAAGGTCATAATTTGCCAACCCCTACATCAAAGCCTAAATTGGATCATTTAACCCTCTACACAAACTGAACCAACAGTTCCCAATCTTACCTAGGCAAAGCCCTAGAAGATACTAGGTAACCCATACTAATCTACCTCCCTGACTTCCTCATCTACACTAACACCACGCCCCTATTTCCCACTCCACTGCACTCACATAACCAACATCCCAAGTTCAAAGTGGTCTGAGAACCTTTGCCCTTTGTCCCTTCTGCCATGACCACACCTCCCACAAAGACTAGGTTTCTTCACATTCCTCTTAAATCTCCACCCCACCCCACCCCTTACTGGTCTCCATTCAAATGCTTCTCTTCTCTGGGTGGCTCTCTGGCCCTGTGTATGTATGTGCTAGCAAATCCTGCTCCCTGACACATGACCTGGGCTTTTAACGCTTCTTTTTCTTCTGAGCACTGATCACCACGCCCTATGTCATGCATCTGTTTACTGGCTTTCTGTCCCTTTCCCACCAGAATGTAAATGAGACAGACTTTGTGTTGCTCACTCCTATCTCATCAATGCCACAAGGACGCGTAACCTGTTTGACACGCAGCAGACATTTAACAAATATATCTGGATATAGAAACAAGATATTGCTGTTATTGCTTTTGCTTTTGTGTGTTACTGTCTTTTGCTTACATCAGAGTTCAAAATCTAAAGTCAACATTTACACATTTTTGGATTCCTGAACCCTCTAAAAATGACAGAAAATGCTACATAGTTGCCTTATTCTGTGAGAGGGCCCTTTTGCTTTCCACGGAGTCTCAAAGGGCCAAGGCTCCACAATTCTGAGTACCCTCTCCGAGCATAGAGAACAGGCCCTGAGGCTCTCCCTCCAAGTGTATTCTGATTCAAAAAACTGCAAACCTTTTTTTGCCACCAAGCCAATCTTAGTTCATACCAACCACATAGGACAGAATAGAACTCTCCCTGCAGGTTTCCAAAGCTGTAAACCTTGACAGGAGCAGAAAGCCTCTTATTCCTCCGTGGAGAGAGGGTGGTGGGGTTGAACTGCTGACTCTGTGGTTAGCAGCCCAATGTAAAACACACCATGCCACCAGGGCACCTTGTATTCTGACTAGACACATTTTAATGTAGCGTTCGCTATTTCCTTGACCTCAAAGAGTGTAGAGGCAGCAGATGCCCTGTGGATGGGGAGGCAGGTCACTTCTGGAAGAGGACATAGGTCAGCAGGGTCCCCAAAAAAGGCTGCTGGGATGTTCTAGAGAACTCCTCAGTAAGACTCATGTTTACATAGCCCTCATGCCACAGACAGAGCTTTCCACAGATTTCAGCCAAAGAAAAGCCCCAGATGCAAGCCATCCCACAGCTGGAGCCCCTGCAATCCCAAGTCAAGGGAGTAGTGACCCCTCCAGACCAGGGAGCAGCACAAGGCCCCTTTAGTGAGACTCCAGAATCAAAGGCAAACAGCAGATTCATTCTCCTTATTGTGTTTCCTCTGCTGGACATCTGTCAAGAGTCAAGATTAGCCACTGCAATTCATGAAACTTGTACTCAAAACGTATTGCAATTCCGAACAACAAGCCTGACATTTCCAGCGGTTCCATGGTTCCATCCGGCCATTCACCTAGCTCACCGGGGAGACATTGCTGCTTTGTGCTTACCACTCAGCAGTCTGTCCAGCGGTGGGCTCCCCTCCATCATTGCTTCAGCCAGAAGTAACTTTTGGTGTAGTTGTTTGTTGGCCGTTTTAAACTCCTGCAGTTCCCTCTGTAGCTCCATGACCCGGCCCTGCAGCTGGGCCTCCACCCCGGGGGTGGCAGCAAGCTGATACGCACTCCCTGGTGGCCGGGATGGTTTCATTAAGATTGGCAAGCGTGATTTCTTAGCCTCCTGAAAATATACAGGGATACAACTATGAATATGCTTCCTTCGCTCACACAGTCAATTCTGAAGGCAACTACACATACTGGGGACTGAAACGGGCTGTCCCGGCTACTGGTTCCTATGGCGCCATCGATGTTTACCTCCTTGTCCACAACATTTATACCTTGGCAGGTTCCTCCTCTGATCGACAACTACGCAAAGCTTCTCCTCTTTGGCATGCTCTTGGCCCTGGTCCCTTGGTTTTCTGGGGATTCAAAGTATTCAATACATGCCATTGGGTCAAGTCAGCAACAAGTCCAGGCAGCCCACACGCAGCCATCAGCATAGGACTGTGCTCCTGGGGCTTTGGGGGGGCTGGTTTGTAAAAATAATACATTGCCAGCCATTTCTTTGGAGGCCGCTCTGGGCAGACATGAACCCTTTGGTTAAAAGACAAGCACTTGAACTGTCTGCTTCACCAGGACTCCCACTTGTTACACAGGAATCCTTTTTGTAACAAAATCTTCCTCCAAAACAACACGGTATTTTCTACCTAAAATCTTCTTTCTGGATCCTCTTTACTTCTTCCTAAACCCATTGCCATCCAGTCTATTCAAACTTCACAGAGATCCAATGGAGGATTTCCAAGAGCAGGAATCATTATGGTAGCAGACAGTCTCCTCTTTCTTCCTTAGTGCAGCTAAGTGGGTTTGAAATGCCCGGCTTTCAGTTCGCAGCCACTGATCTACCAGGCTCCTGCCTAACCCTAAACCATTCATTACAACTCGACTCAAGCACGCCTTCCTCAGAAGAATGGCCCTTGATTTCCAAAACCTCAGGACTCCCTGTTCTCCACACTCACTGTCCGCCATAATTCTCCTCAAAGGACATGCCTATCAGGAACCTACTACTGCAGTATTAAACGTGCAATGCGTGCTCATTCTCTCTTCTGTGGCATCTTGTAGGCTTCGGGGTTGAGAGGGCCTACCTAGCGGAGCCATTCCTCGTCCACCGCGGCCTCCGAGACAAGGGCCAGTGCAGAGCGGGGCTCAACTACTGGTTGTAGAATGAACACACAAGTAATAAGGTGAGGGGCAAATGGAAGTGTCTTTCAATAGGAACTGTCAATATATTCAAACACTAGGAAGAGAAACTTGAATGAAGAACATATAAGGAAAAATCTGAACTCAATAATAAAAATGCAAATAAGCCAATTGAAAAATAGGCAAAGCTACGAATCTCCTACAAGTGGCCAATAAACATGTAAAAAGATGCTTGATATCATTAGCCACCCGGGAAATGCAAGTCAAAAGCCAGGATGGCTATCATTTAAAAGGTACAATAACAAGGGCTGATGAGGATATGGAGAAGCCGGAACCCCCATAGACTGCTCGGAGGATCGTAAATGGAGGACTGTAAATGGCTCAGCCACTTTTAAACGCAACGGTCAGTTCTTCAATGACTAAACAAAAGGTTATAACCAAGCCAGCAATGTATATACCCAATAGAAATGAAAACTACAGAAAACAAAAATGTGTACATGTATGTTCATCACAGTATTATTCATGGTAGCCCCAAAGTGGAAAACAACCCAATGTTCAAATGATGACTTTATACAATGTAATTCTTATTTGGCAACAAAACATAATGAAGTCCTAATACTTGCTACAATATAAATGAACCTTTAAAAGATTATGCTCGGTAAAGAAGCCAGGTAAAGAAGCCAGTCACAAAGGATCACATAGGATAGAAGCCCATGTCTACGAAATGCCCAGAAAGGCATCTCTACAGAGACAGAATGCAGATTATTGGTTGCTTATAGACTGGGTGCAGGATGGCGGGCAGGAACTGGGAACTGACTGCTCATCGTTTCAAGATTTCTTCCTGGGGTCATGAAAATGTGCTAAAGTCGATTGTGGCCATCGAGAATACAGCACTCGAGAATACACCAAGCACCACTGACTCGTCCATTTAAAGGGGGTGACTTGTGTTACCTAAATTATATTTTAATAAAGCTATTATTTACCCCCGAAACTCAAACTAGCAGAGGAGAAACCTAAGAGGAAAACAGGAAAATATCTGGGGGCTCAGAGAAAGAGAAACTCATCAGGGCCTTTCAACAAGAGTCAGGAGCCCTCCTGGCCACACGCGGGGATGCAAACCACACATCCTCACTCAATGCTCAGGTAAACTCTCCATTCCCGGGAGTCCCAGGATGGCAGATAAGAAATCGAGATGTCCAATAACCCGTCTAATGTCACACAGAGCCAGATCTTAAAACAGCTCTCCAGACTCCAGGACTCGGGTAAAAAAAGCTGAAGTACTTTCTGCCAGAAATTCCAGGATGGGAAAAGGAAGACCGAGTCCAAGGACAAGAGAAGGTTGAGATGGTGAGGGGACCACTGGGAGGGGCTGGATGCCTGCCCCATCAAAAAAAAAAAAAGCTGGAAATAACAGTCATTTGATTGGTCTTCACTCGCCACCGGTCTTTATTCTTGGAACCAAATCTGTGTGTCATATGGCAACAGAGAAGAGATCTGCTAGTGTACAAATGCCAAAGCCAATTTCAGGCTGGAAGACTGCCGTCAGTCAACCTAATGTGGGTTCTAAAATAATGCCACGCAAAATGCTACCTTATGGGCAGTCAACAAGAGGAGTTTCCACCCATCACCTTTTAAAAAATGCCACAGTGAAACTTCTCACTTGACAAGGCAAGCAGGCAGGAATTCAAATGCACACAGGGGCTCCTGAGTACAAGGTACTGATTGAACATGCCCTCATGAAGCCATCATGGCGGTTTCAGCTTCCAGGTCACACCAGTCCCACTCCAAATCCTGAGAGAGGTCAGGTGACTTGCCAAGGACTCACAGCAGCTAAGTGGCTAGGCCAGGAATGTAAACACAGCGTATCTTTGCTCTGGAACCAAACAACCAGCACTACAGTCCATCTCCTTGTCTCCACTGTAGGCTTCAACAGGACTGCAGCGTTCTGGCTTGGTCCCTAGGAGTTATCAGCTCCTTCATGGTCTACCATGAAAGCCATTGGCTTCTACTTGGCAGAGACTGGAGGCCACTTTGGTAGTATAAGAACCGCTCCCTTCTCAAGAAGGGTAGGATATGAATCCCTGCCTGCCTCAAAAGCCAGCCCTAGGTTTATCTCCCAAACCAACTGGGTCACCCTGGACAGTTTTCAGAGCTTCCCCGTGTGAAGATGTGAATACCCACCCAGCTCATGCCTTGCCCAGAAGAGTGGATGGGCTGATGCCTGTATGGAACGGCTAACACAATGCCTGGCACAGATCGTGAAGGGAAAGAAGGAAAGGTGTGGTTTCCTTCCTTTTGAAGGCAGCACAAGCAAGCAAGATGTCTCTGAACTAAAAAGAAAAATATTTTTCAATACATTGGGGAAATTAAATGTGTTCGATTATGCAATTTTCTTCAACAGAGGATGCCATCTTCTTGGGGGGCGGGGGGGGGCACATGACAACCTCTCCATATTTCTAATAAACAGGTACAGATTGAAGGAGCTGGGACAGAGAACATTCCTATTCCAGTCAAATTGCACAAATTTGCATCTCCAATACCATTAATATAATGGCAGCTTTCTCTCTCTCCCCCTCTCTCGCTCCTGATATCTTTAGAAAACCCTTTTCTAGAAATTACAGTTTTGGTGCATAATTTAAAACAACCAAAAGCAATTTTGCTAATGATATATCTAACTCTCTTTGGTATGCACAAAAGCAGTAATTTAGTGGTCAGAAAATAAACTTAATTCTCCATTCTGATGCTATGAAGCAATGTGTACAGTGATTTCTCGGATACAAAACACCCATCGGAAACAAGCAGCCGAGCAGCCACCACTGGAACTCTATTAGAAACATGACCTAGTTCCTTCCCATTTCCTGCAAGAACACGCGCTTCTCTCCCAAGCCCTCCCTTCCCAAAGATTTTAGTAAGAAAGCCATCATGCACTGCCAAAAGAGTTTGGTTCCTCACGCTGTGACATATTTAAGGAGATGCTTAGGGGATATGCAGCATCTTTGACGGATTTTAAAGTGACGTACAGATAATCACACAACAAAATCCAGGTCCCACCATGGACTGGGAAGTAGCCAAATGAGAGTTAGGCATGCGACTAGGGGTCTGGCACAGTCAGAGCCCCAACCCAGCCCCACCAGGTAACCATAGCTATACCACTCAGGTTCTGCTCCCTCATCTCCAAAGGGTGCTGAAAGGTGATACGAAAATGCAGACTAAACCCTCAGAGCAGTACCTCTGAACAAAATGAACACCGGGTTCTCCTTTCAGCCCCGGCAAGACAGGCGTACGTAAATGTCTTTCAACAGGAAAAGAACTGAATACATGTGGACACAGCCACAATAGACTCTCAAGTGGCCACTATAAATGTTTAAAAGAGAAAGCTAAGACACAGGACAAACAGGTTTCCATTTGTATAAGGAAAACACCTATGGATAATAATACATAAACAAATGAGAGAGAGATGGGGCCAGGTGTCACTCTGGGGAGGTTCAGAAGGGGGCACGCTAGGTGGAGCTTATGGCTTAGTGCAGGCAGAAGGGGAGACCAGATTTTCACATCAAGGTCAGAGTGGAAGTGCTTATTTTAAAAGGGTGTGTTCTAGGTTGTGTGTGAGTGAGTGAGTAAGAGTGAGAGAACAAGGGAAACTTACCCTCTTGGTCCCACTTGGGAGCGACCGGGCAGGGCACTTCCGCCCTGGCACGTGGTGCAAGTTCTCAGGCTGAGGCTCAGTGCTGTGCACAGCATCCGTTGGCTTGTCTTCCCAAGCGGCATCCACTCCTTCGTGCCTGAATCTGACAGTGTCGCCCTCTGTGACCACGGTCTGTACTGAGGCATCTTTCAGCTCCACCATGGACGCTTTGCCCACCTTCACTGGCTTGGCCCCCCAAGGCGACTGCAGCTCATCGTGTGGCTTGGAAAGTGAGCTGGCTTCGAAGAAGTGTCTGAGCTCACCTCTCAGCTGAATGGCCATTTGCTTTAGCGTCTCCTTGGCTTTACCGTCAAGGAACTCTCCAGAAAGTTCCTGCTCTGTCATGTGTATTTGTTCCAGAAGTAGTTCACGTAACGTCTGCAAAAGGTCCGGCCTGTTTTTCCAAAGAGGAAAGGAAGGAGACAGCTGAGTTTGTGGTCGTATCCCCTGCCCACCTCTCACTCTCCTCAGCGAGCCTCCTCCAGAGACCGTCTCCGCTACACAGGGAGCTCCTGCCACGTGGGCCCGTAGCCTCCGGACAGCGACTCGGGGCAGGCATGACTTGTATGTAGTTCAAGGAGGAGTAAAGTAAAGTGGACACGGGTACACAGTAGATGGGTGGCCTCCATGGGCTTGCGAACATAGGGTGAGCCCAGGAAGAGCGTATGTTAAGGTGACCAGATTTTAACATTGGTAACGCGGGACACCATTGATAAAACTCATATCCTGGTGAAATAGCCACGTGGCAGCAGAAAACCGTATACCCTAGCCTGTCGTGCATTCTTTCCAAAAATCGTGACTTTTTTAAAAGGCCGCAGGACGCGGGGAAAGTTGCTAAAAATCGGGACTATCCTGCCAAAAGCGGGACGTCTGGTCACCTTAGCATATGTTCATGACCATTGCGAGATTCTCTGCCACTCACCACATCAAAGGGGTCGTATGGGTTATATGTGACCATGTCCAACCTGGCTGGCTCACCGTGTGACCGTCCAGCCCACCATGGCGTACAATCGTCGCTCAGTTAATAGGCCCGGGATGCAGAGGTGCTCGTAAGCGGGCCTAATAGAAAGCAAAGAGCACTGGCTTTGCAGTCAGCCAAAACAGCTTCTGGTTCTCTTTGAGATTCTGGGAGAGGAAGATAACCATCTTCCCCCAGAGGGCAGCTGTGAGGGTTCAACAAGATTGTGTGTGGGCAGCAGGTGGTCTCAGGCCCCTCACCTGGTGCCTTTGGCTGCCCTCTGATCCCAACGGCAGCTGAAGGCGCCATAAGCACCCACTGCATCTTGCTGGACATTTTCCCAGGGCTCTCTGAGCCAGCCAGCAGGGCAGTGTGCATGTGTGGACCTGCTTATATCTAGAGAAACCCTGAACCAGTGGGATTTCCACTGCCCCGGCTTCAAAGACAGGTACCTCTCTCCAGTTCCCCCAGAGGGAACCCAGAGAACTGCAACCCAACAGTCCCCAACAGAAATCAGTCAGAGATCCTAAGCCGAGGAGGCAACCACAGGCCTGAGAAGGAACCACAGAGGCGGCAGCTGCAGAAAGCGGTGGAAACAAGCACCTCAAAGCCTTTGGTGAAAGAGGGCCCCACAGACCCCAGGGCACATCGCCTCTTCTCTGAGCCAGCACTCGGAGGCAGGGACCCGGATGCGGATTCAGGAGCAAGTTCCAGCACAGCACAGGTCAGTCATTTCCCCGCAGGACGACCTGCTGAACCTTAACACGAGACCCCAAGGGGCACACTGCGGCCATGTGAGTCGCCGACGGGAGGAGTATGGGCGGAGGGTGCCGCATAGGGCTGGTAATACAGGCAAACGAACTCGCAAACAAAACCCACCGATCTGCAACAGAGAAGCCACACCCGGGGGAACAGAAATAATACAGCAATTTGAAAAATAGGTTAGAATAAGATGTTTAGAATCATCCCAAAGAGAGAGGAATGTGTTCATCAAAAAAGAAAAAGAGGTTTAGAAATTGAGGCATGAACATGTTGAAAAGGGGGCCAACAAGCTAAATCATCGACGCCAGAGAGACAGGAGACGTGGCAGCCAGTCAGTAGAGGGAAGGAGACAGAAGATGTTCTCCTCAATGCTCACACTTTGTTCTCCTCTGAGTTTCTCCTGCTTGACTTATTCCAAGAAACCGAGGGATATAATCACACTGGCACTACCAACTCCTCTGACATACCTACCACTGTTCTACTAGAATTGTCCTGATCTTCCCTACCTCTGTCTCTGCTACAGTCAAAAGGACAGTATCTTTAGTCTACCTTCCCCACCAGCCTGACAAGGCCTTGTTCATATCTGGATCGCTCCTATCTAGCTCTAGGGGAAGAGTCCATTCCATTTAAGTTAAATAGCAAAAGTCAAGCACTTGGTTAACTGGAAGGTTGGAGGTTCAAATCCACCAGCCAGTCTTCAGGAGAAAGATACAGCACTCTGCTTTCGGAAAGAATGGAGCCTTGAAAACCTGAAGGGTCAGCTCTACCTTGTCTTATAGGGTCACTCTTGTTCAGACAGCAACAGGTGGGTAGGTAAGTAATATGGAATCATCTAGACTACACAAATCATTCTAACTACATTAAGTCGAGTTGAAAAAAATATTTCTGGTATTTCCAACATCGGAAGATATTACAGTAAATTTTCCTTCCCTCTTTTCCCCTTACTAGAGATTAAAAATAATGACAATTGCTATTTAGCTAGCCAAAGAGCACCATAACTCACTACCAAACAACACACAATAAAACCCAGGGAAATGCTTTATAAATGGGTAGTAAAAGGTTGTGAAAAGGGGCCATTACAATATACTAAAGTGCTGGGGCTCTTAAATAAAACATTTCAAGTGTTACTTTGCTAAAGATCTGAACAGCAGATTCATTAAGCTGTCACTGTAATCAGGACCTTTCTAATGGTTTGGTCTGAGGGTCTTATCAGAGGCCCAAACACTGTTTATATGCCCTTCCCAAGCACCTCTGCCATGTTGAAGAAGCACGGGAAAGGAGCTGACATTCACTAAACACTCACCAGGTGGCAGATTCCTTAACGATACGAAACACAGTTACGTAATCTTCACAACAGGACTACAAGATGGGGCTGTTATTAAGCCCCTTTCTCAGATGAAAAAGAACAGGCTCCTAAAGATGCCGGAAGCCCTAGCAAAGTGTCCAAGCAGAGCCTGGAACCCAGGTCTTTCTGACTGCGCTTTCTGCTTTTCTACATTTAACGTCTGTCCTGTCAGGTTTGTGGCACTCCAGGCGTTCACTGAGTATTTACTGTGTTCCAGGGCTCATGAAAACAGCCGGACTGCATGATGACGACGAAAGACAGAGTCCCTGCCCTCATGAAGAAAGCAGGGAGAGCATCGTTTACACATGTAACCAAATAACAATCTAAGGTAGGGACACATAGCACATACTTGTTTACAAAAAGGAACAAAGCTCTGGACGAAGCGCGGACACAGGGATTTCCTGTGGTCGTGGCAGACTCTGTGAAGGAGGTTCCTAAGCCGAGACATGGGCACTCTCCACTACACCAAGGAAAAGAGCATTCCAGGTATAGGGACCGAGAAGGCTGTGGAGTGAGGACAAGCTTGGGTGCTTGAAGAAGAGAAAGAGGTCAGTGTGGCTGGAGTGGAAGGGGATGAAGACAAGACAACGAGGCAGGGGCCAGGTCATGAAGTTCTGGGTTTGGAAATCCACTCAAGCTTTCACACACAGAGGAGAGTGGACTGTGGAGGGGCAGAAGTCCTCGCTAGCTGACATGCAAGAGACTGCTGGCCTCGGAGAGTGGGCAAGAGGGAGTGGCAGCTTGGTGGACAATGGCAGGGGTGGAGACATGGAGAGGCTGAAGAAGGGAAGTGGAGTCAATTGGATTTGCTGATGGATATGGGAATTGAAGAAACAAACAAGGGGGGGGGGCTAACTCAGAAACTTTCAGCTGCAGCAATTAGATGGGAAGCAACGCCACTCACTGACGTGGAAAAGAATGCAGGAGGAGCAGAGACCGAAGCAGGATGCAGGGTTTTAGACAGACAACCGTGCAGGTGTCTATTAGACATCCTGGTGGAGATGTCCAGTAGACAGCTGGCTGTCTGAGCTAGAGAGGTCTGGGCTGCAGGTCTGCATGTCTAAGTCACTAAGCTTCCTCGACAGTCATGGGCGACAAAGGCTGGAGGAAAGAAAGGAGCCGATTGCACAGCTCTGACACATTCCAGCACTCAACAGCTGACAGAGGAAGGGGAGCCAGCCAAGGAGGCTGCGATGGAGAGGCCAGTGGGGCAGAAGGGAAGACCAGGGGAGGGCAGTGGACAGAGGACAAAAGAAAGGGAGCAGCAGCCAGTGGGTGCTAGAGGGCCAAGATGCCGAGCACCTGATTGGCAACTGTCCCTGACCTTGAGGACTAGCCAAGACTGTGAAAGTACCTGACATGGGAGACACGTGATGAGATTCATTGCAGGATTCGATTCCATGAGAGATTCATGAGAAATGGGGCGAGGAGCTAGAGAAAACGTGAGCGTGGAGGAGGAAGGGGAACCCCTCCCCAGCAGTGGCTATGAAGACGTCTTAGACTTACGGAAGTAACTCAGTGACACAAAAAATGATGCACAGAACAAGAGGGGCCGTGGGAGGATATGGGATACAGCACAGAGGAGGGTGTGCCCCTGCAGAAGAGGCTGTCTGCTCTCCTGAAGACTGAAGCCTGAGAAACTCCAGGGGGTTCCGCTCCAGAATTGACTTGATGGCAGTGAGTGGGGAGGGTCTGCGGGTCACAGAGAAAATAGACTGTTAGCATCTGAGGTTTGAGGGGAAAGAGCATCGTTTGAATTTGACTGCCTCTGCACCCTTAGGCGCGTATACACAGGGTATCAGTCAGAAAGAGGGGGAAGTAGGAACGCTGTGCAAGCGTGTTGTGCTGGCAAGGAGGAATACTCGTTGTGAAACTAATAATGCTAATCAATTTTAAATATGGCCTGTGAAAGCTCGTGACACGAGTACCTGGCCCGAAACAAGAGGACCCCTTATCCAATGGGCTCACTAGGAACTGGAAGAAGGGCCGCCGGGTGGCCAAAACACAGAAAGCGAGGCAAGGATGGTGTGGTCAGAGGGGAGGGGAGGGCTGGCAACCAGGTCACAAAGGGCAAGATCCTTAAAAAAGCTGAAAGTCTGAGGGTTTTTAAGAGGACAAATGCATTTTCAAGTCATCACTCTGGAAATAATGGCTGGGTGGGGCGGGGAGGGGTGCAGGAGTGGGGTTAGGGGGGTACGTGGGGTCCAGGATAGACAGGATGGAAGGGACAGGGGCAGTTGAAGGGGATTGATGGGTCAGGAGGCTAGAGTGGCAACTCCAGAGGAAGCTAGGATGAGGCACCAGCAACAGAGCGAAGGAGGTGGATTCAAAAGCTACTTAGGCGACAGAAGGACCCCTTGGATGTGGGAGGTGAAGGAGAGAACCAGGCAGCCACCCCACCCCCACCCCCCAAGTTTCTGGAAAGAACCCTCACAGGTCAAGTGCCTCTGAAAGATAGAGCCTACCTTAACTGGCAACATCTGCCCCTCTCCTAACACTGTAGGGTCTCCTCGCCTGGGCCTCTGCATCCGTGCCATGGAGGAGATCGCCTGGCCCTCCTCCTCTTCCTCTTCCTCCTCCTGCAAGTCATCTGCCCGTACCCAGAAGGGCAGACTCAGGGTCCTAGGAGCTGTCCTGTCCAATTCTGCTGGAGCTCAAGACTGAATGAGCTTCTTCACTTACGCTTTTTAAAACATCTTTAATCATTACATAGCCCCCTGCAACTCCCTTTTGGGTTGTTGAATTCCTTTTCGGCTATTAAATTTCACACCTAATTTAAACTGCAAAGACCAAACACTTTAGGTGGTGAACTCCTAAGCCATGCACTCCAGGTCAGAGGAGCCAAATGACTTGGAAGCAAGCAGAGAGGGCAGGGAATCATGCGCCTGGTGAATGGCCAGCCCGTTCCTCACCAGCCAGCTGGGTCCAGCTCGGGCCCCTTTCATGACACCTCCCAAGGAAATGTTCCACTTGGCCCAGAACAAGACTGCTAATTACTCTGAGGTACTCTATGCCCTTCCTAGCAGGGAGGCAAGTTTCTTCTGAACCCAGTTACTCCTCTAGTCCCTTAGGTCACACCGTGGGGGCTGGGGGATGGGAGGCATGCAAAGGCCATGGCTGAGCCGACTCTTCCACCCCAATGCTCTCGGAGCTCGGCCCTGGGGTTATCACACCTGTCTCAGCAATGAGGACAAAGGCCTGGTTCACTGGGGGCTGCTGTTCCTTGACCAGAGTACGAATCTCAGCTGGGGTTTATAGGAATGGGCAGGATTTAAGCAGTCCCATCACCCAGACCTTGCTTAATCCCAAACTAGGTCTCTATAGCTATTATTTCATCATCCCAAGGTCTGATTGGGAATTATCACTCTATTTGGCAGATTGAGAAAGAAAAAAACAAGATGATACACAGTCAGATTAGAGAACAAATCTTTCTGATTCTAAAGCCTGCCTTTTGTCAGTGTACCCAAGACACCTAGCACTTGGAGGAGGCTCCTAGGCAGGAAACTGGTGCTTCCCTGCCCCATCAGAAGCATGGTTCATGGTGCATGGTTCATGGTCCACCCTCCCAAGGAGAAAGATCTTATTTTAAAAAGACCGCCCTGGAAAATCGCCAGTGACTGTGGCTCCCTGATGGCCAGGGTGTCCCCACCCCCCACCCGTGTGAAAGGGAATCACCAGCAGCGGCACGCAAAGCTCCACGAGGGTGACCAAGTGCTGGGGGCCGGGCACACACTGTGGGTGCCGCCCCAGTTAGGGCTCCCACAGATGGGGCTGACATGACTTTTACGAGCCACTCTCCCAGGGTTTGCTGCTGCAGGGAATCAAAGCTGCACAGAGACCAGGCGGGGGAGCGGCGGGCGGGTTTCTGCTAGCATCAAGACCCCTTTTTCTAACACTGGAGCAGGGCCAGCCGTGGCCTGGAAATCTGTGTGACAGATGCCTTCGAGGGGTGCTGGGAGAGGGGACAGGTAACAGAGCAGCAAATGTCCAAACTGGCCCCTAGAGCACTGGTTCTCACAGTGCCTTCTCAACAAATGCCACCCGCTTCAGGAGAGGAGCAGTGCCCACGCTGGGCCTCCAGACAGGCTGAGAGATCCGGACCAGACAGCTCACGGTGACATCAAGTTGCAGTCAAAAAGCTCCTGCTCACTCGAGAGAACACCTACGACCCCAGCTCACCAAGGTGCACTCGTGCGGGCCCCCCAGAGAGGGCTGTGCCCGTAAACATTCCCGTACAGGATGGAGCCCTGAGATTGAGGGAGGCCTCCATTTCTCAAGCTCCAACGATGGTCACCTGCTATCCTATGACAGCAAACCAGAGCAGTGACTGGGTATGTCCCCCAAGACTGAGTCTCCAGGCCCAGGGGAAACCGATTCAATTAGTTAGCCATAGGATGAAATAAGGCTCCTTCATCTAATTAGCCATCTTGTCCTTGACCAACCAGAGTTCCCAAGGGGACGCAGACCACAGCAATGATACAAAGATGCCGGGATTGGAGAAGGGGGAGCACCGTCCTTTCTTCGCCTGGAGAAATGCTAGCGCACTAGTGATACAAGAGCTACGAGGGTTGCTAGCTTTGGCTCGGAGTCCTGAGCAGGGAGCAGCAGCTCCCTCTCTCCCTCCACCCTGGAGAGGGCCGACATGCACCAGCCACTTGCACAGACAGCATCTCTTCTTAATCCTCACAGCAACTAAGAAAAGGGCAGAGCCACGGAGGCACTGAGAGATGGAGGCTGCAGGGTCCAAGGCTAGGGTCTCATGAACCCCACAGCCTGCCGGTGTGGAGAGGCTACCAAGAAGGTGAAAGGGGGAAGCAATCGCTCCTAAAGAATTCATCTTTAAAAAAACACAAATATGCTGGTTGGTTCTCCTGTTTTGTTGTGAGGAAAACGGCCTGTACTATTTCCTCGCCCAGGAACAACTCCCGGCAGACCTCATGAGCAAAATGTACTAGTTCAAGCTCAACATAAAACAGCACAGCCACGGCAAAGTGACAATGGTCCTTTTTAAGTTGCTGCAGAAATGGGAAGAGGTTACAGTAGGGCTAATTTCCTCTCTCGGACCCATCAGACAACCCTTCCTGTATCCCCCTTCCACACACCCCCACCCCCGCCCACCCCTACCCCCACCCCAAGGCTTAATTTCAAGGAAAGCTTTCTTTTTTTAAGACATAGCAGTCATCAACGCCTCCTCCCCCCTCCCCCCAATCACGGAAAGCTTTCTTGCAAAGCCTCTCTCTATATATATATAATGGGCTGGAAGGAGGAGGTGCTGAAGGCCCCTTGCAGCTGCTAGCTTGTGAGTAATTACATAACTGCATGACTGGCAAGACTCCTTCCAATTTATTTCAGGAGCTCTCTCAGGTAAATTACTCTGCACCACCATCTAAATCAATTTCCCCCAAATGAGTGTCGTTCCCTCAACCTGGAAATAGAGCCCACGTGTACCTGGATTCTAGTAACAAGGTGGCCTTCTCATGAAGGAAAGGGGCGAGCAGGTCCAGGAGCGCCCCTTCCTCCCGATGCTGGGCTCCAGGGAAAACAGGCTCGCAGGTGCCACCGGACTCCAACAGACTGCACGCCCTGTGCTGCAGGTAGCCGTTGCTGCAGCCCCCTTTGGACGTGTCCTCTGCAATCTGCAAACGAAAGTATTTGGTCAAACACCGGAGTGAGGAGGGATGGAAAGGATGGAGACAGGATGGGAAAGGGCAGGTGTGAGTGAGGGAGAGACACGGAGTCAGAGATAAGATGACCAAGCAAATGAGAGGAGGAAGCGGAGGAGGGAAAAGAACACACAGGCACCAGAGTCCGGAGAGAGGGGTGCTCTGGATGTTTTACATCATCGCTCGTTCCCCTGGGCTTCCTCATCGATCAAATGGGGAGAGAAGTGCCACCTCTCAAGGTGCTTACGAGGGTGAAACTGAGCAGGGGAACCCAGGGTGCGCGCCTTACTGGCGACTCAGGAGTCTTACTGATGAGCGCTGGACCTGCGTTCCTCCAACACGTGACTCCTTCCTTCCTTGTAAGCCCTTCCCAAGAAGGATGTGGAAACAGGTCATCACTTCTGCTTCATTTGGACATTTCTTATATACTGCTTACAATTTACCCTCCTCCTCATATATCAGAAAGCAGATGTCTTTTTTTACAGACACAGACTAATTAACATGACTTTGATTTGTTTCATTAGAAAGGTGGAGAGTTCCTAATTCCCAGGGAGATGTCATTTACGTGTCTACCTTCTGGGGTCCCTTAGAGTCCCACAGGAGTGGCACCAGAGATGCATCTAGTTAAAGCCTGCGCTGGGCATGTCTTGAGGTGCTGCAATTAACATTCTTTCTCCTCTTCCCAAAGCTATAAATTCCCTCCACCAGTCTATAAACAACTCCTCTGGACTTCATTACTGCTGGTGATATATACACTAGCCATCACTGCTCTCGCCACACTTGTAAAATGATTAAGATGTTTAAATGGAAGGCAAGACCCACACAAATGAACGGTTATTTATGGGGTCTTGTTTGCCACCCACCTTGTTCACTCATCCATCAAATATGCCATCTCCAAAAACAGCAATGTCCAGGGTGTAATAATCAAAATAGCAATCAGTATCATTTACTGAGCAATTATTATATGCCTTTCTATTCAAATATATTAACAATCCTAACCAGGAAGTATTATTAGTCCCATTGATGGGGGAAATGCAGGTGTGGAGTTTAAGCAACTTGCCCTCCTCACAGACAGATAAACAAAAAACCAACAACGTCACTGCCATCGAGTCAATTCTGACACATGGCAGCACTGTAATAGGCAGGGCAGAACTGCCCCTGTGGGTTTCTGAGACTAACTATGTATGGGAATAAGAAGTTTCCTTTCCTCCCACAGAGCAGCTGGTAGTTTCAAACTGCTGATCTCACGGTTAGCAGCCCAGCACGTAACCATTACACCAATAGGGCTCCACCAGGGTTCCACCATCATAGAGAGCTATAGCAGCAAGGTCAAGGCTCAACTCAGGCCGTCTGACTCAACAGCCCCTACTGAATAGCTTTGATGACCAAAAACTACACATTTTAATGGTCTCCTAGTCATGACTCCATGAACTTGAACACCCTGGCATCCATAAATTCCAAATCTGTAGCTTCCTATCTCCCACTAGATCCCAATCTTTGGGGTTCATTCAACCTTGGAAAAGGTTTACTCCAAATGCTTAGTATCGATGTAACTAGGGGAGGATTCTTTGTGGACTGGGGTCAAACCTTCACAATGCCCGGATGTCCCTGTGCTGGGTCCCTGACTGCAGGAGACTGCGGAGGGCCCTGGGAAGGGCGGGGGGCCTGCTTCTATCACCAGCTCTCTGTTCTGCCATCAAAATGACCTGCGAGTTCACAGCAGTCCTGGGATATCCCGAGAAAACCATCTCCCCTCTTGGGGCTCAGTTTCCATGGCATGAACTCCATAGGCTGGATGAGGTCTCTAAGGAGCTGTCCAGGTCCCGCCCTCAGGCACTGGTCCCTCTCCAAAAGCACTTTTCACTTCATCCACAATGTGTGCTTTCCTTCTTCATGACCGGCTCACAGCAAGTCCGAGGCTCTCGAGAGGACGGGCCCTGGTCTGTCTGCACTCCACTGGCTCACAGCAGGCACTCAGTCCAGGCGGAATGCACCGAGAACCCCCTGGGTTCATTCGGGACAAGGGAGAGCCTGGGGGTAGGGGCAGGTGGGATGAGGACTTAACTGCCATGTTCCTACCTCTTTACTCTGCTCCAAAGGCTGGCAGTCACTAAGAAAATGCTTCCTGCCGTCTGCTCCCGTTGTGACCGTGTCCTCGTCTTCCTTTCTACCTAGAAGCTGCATGGAGCATGGAATGGTGTGAAAATACAACAACAACAACAAAATGTGCAGCATGAATAAGTCAGTGATGTCTTTTTTTTTTCAATGCAAAATAAAAACAAACACAAAAAGAGGCCAGGAGAAAAATGGCAAAGCCATGAAATAAAAATTAACCTAAGTTAATTTTTTGCCTGAACCTAGTTCAGGCAAATCACACACAGCTGCCTGAGATCAGGCAGATTGTAAGGACACATTCCCCAGGACACAGCCAAGGCTGTCTGGCCCTGGATAGCCTTCCCCGAGCGCATGAAATAGAATATGCCGCCGTCAGGCTGCTGCCATTCCCGCCTTCACTAAATTCACTTTCAGATTATAGGAAAGTAACAAGATTTTTGAAAATAGCTATTGATGGAATTGAAAATACCAAAGAGCGAGAAAGCAGTAAATGAAATTTATGGTGCGCCCAATTTATGCATCCCGTCTCCTGTTTAGCACGGCACGCGAACCTCTTTGCTGGCTGTCAGACGTCAGAGATGGACAGTCCCAACCACACTGTCATTTTGTTGACAGAAAGTCCTCATGAGTAATGAGCAGCATATCAAGCTCGCCGGGTGATCAGTTGATACATTCAGAAATGAAAGGCAGTGATTTATAAAGGCTGTGTATGTTCCTAGTGCTCTGAAGAAGAGTAAATCCAGAGCTTTTGCACGCTGTGTTCTATAGATGTTCTCAAGAGAGCAGGATCTCAGCTCGCTGGGAGAGAGAAATTCTAGTCAGGGACCGCCTGGTTTGACCACGGGAGAAAATGCAGAGGGGAAAGGTGACCAGGCCCAGGGGGAGAAGCCCGATCGGGTCACAGAAGTGCAAAACTACACTACACCACGCCCCCTGTGAGAAGACGGGTGAGCACGCAATGAGAGGTCACTTGCTGGGGCAAGGAAAACAGAACACGAAGCAAACTGACTTCCGGAAGAGGTTTTTCTAGAAACCTCCCAAAACCGGAATACGTTCAACCTCTTGTTAGGTTTTCAGCGCTGCCGGGTCGGCTCCAATTCATAGCCACTCTACAACCCAGATCAACTGCAACTGAGGCTCAAATCCAGATCTCACTGTGCTAACACCCAAGCACTGTGCAACTGCACCACGCTGGAATGCCAGCATGCCATTCAGGAGCCCTTGTACCGCAGGACAAACTGCGGCCCAGGTCTGCACCTCCTTCACCCTCGCTGTGTGCTACGCTCAGGCCACTGCCACTGCTAGGTTCTCATCTAGCACCAGAGCACATGGTTAGTCTCTTGTGGCCCACAGCGTTTCCACGGGGTAATTTTTGGAAGTCAATCATCAGACCTTACTTCCTAGGCTATCTTACTCTGGAAGATCTGTGTTTAAAACCTGGCAGACACCATTGGTACCTCTGTGGTGCAGGTAGTCCCCAATTTACGTGTATTTGACTTACAACAAACCACACTTGAGGACCCTCTGCTTGGGGTTTGTTCTTTGGGTTCACTTTATTGTGGTCATCTGTACAATAGGATGATGCAGCACATAATCTGCCGATGTTATCCACGGCAGATGTCCCCTCCCAGATGGTCTATGATTTACTGCACAGAAACACCGCTGTGAAAGGGACAACAACAGAAGTATTCCGCTTCCATCAGAATCAATTTCTAGCAGAGTCAATGAGAGAACCCAGTGTCGGGGCTGCACAGGTTCAAACATTTGTAAAACTTAGCAAGTGCACATTTAAGATTTCCATATCCCATTGTATGTAAAATTTAACCTTAAAAGTAAATATTGAACTCTAGTTAATGATATGTACACAGAATTGTGTACTAATGTCTATCATTTACATTAAATCATACCCCAAAACATATGATGTAATGGCAGATAGATAAGGAGTGTTAACAGTAGAATGTAGATGGTGGGTACAAGCATGTTCACTTAAAATTCTTCTCCCTTTACTGTTGGAATTCTTTCACACAAGTTTGGGGAAAACATCTCCTTTAAAGTATGACAATCAGAACATCAGCAACAGAAGTCTCCCTTTGTCTCCCCAAAAGCTCCAGCCACTGAATACTCTGCGCTTCTGCAAGGGCCTTCCAGCCTCACCTTCTCTCCACAAAGTATGGATGAGCAGTGCCCAAAGCCTTCCGAATCAGAAGATGGAATCTACCTTGGACGAGGGAGGAGGCAGAGAGAAGCTCCGCCCCCAGAGCCTGTGCATCTGAGGAAGACTGCCTTCTAAATTAAGCTGGCAAACTATTATTATAAATGTCATTCCACAGTTCCTGAAGTGCCAAAAGCATCCAAATTGTTCCGCCTCTCCAGAACCATGCCGTGCCATTATCTGCTACTCTAAGCGAGGTCTCTATTAACAGGAATGGCCAATAAATGCAATGTGTGGACACAGAGAAGTGCCCTCATGTCAAGGTGGTGTCCTAATTTTCAAAGGTTTAGCATGGGATCAGAGAGAAACGGGTCACTGTAACCAGGCTCAGCTTCCATCTCTACAAACTAGAAATGTGACCTACACCCCCTCAAAGTCACTTCCTCACTCCTCACCACTCCCCACCCCACTGCCATCTGGCTCGGGTCCCTCACTCCATGAAAACCGCCTTTACCCAGGCCATGAATGACCCCCTGGCCACTCCTTGTTCATTTCTCTTTATCGTCTTCTCTGAGTACGTGATGTTATCTCAGTCTCCTGGTCCCCCTTGCCGCCTGTGCTCCTCTTTC